ACTATAACTATTAATTACTACTTAACCGGGAGATTAAGGGAGGATAATTAAATTGAGGGGAAAACCACTTAGCCGAGGGCCTCCAAGACCTTTTTGGGGTTCTAAACCTCACGAGCGTAGCGAGGGAGGTTTAGAACCCCAAAAAGGTCGAGGAGGCCCAAGGCTAAGTGGTTTTCCCCTCAATTTAATTATCCTCATGAAAACTCCCGGTTAAGTAGTAATTTATCGTTTAATCTCCTGTTCAACGAAATAACCAACCGTGGGGGATAAAATAATAATGAAATCAATAAAACTATCAATTATGATTTTAATTCTCTTATTTCTTACTAATGCATATGGAATAATATTTAATTTCTTGATCTAAATCTTGAATTAAATCTGTATGGATCACAGAGGGAGGATAAGTAATTATCCTCCCTGGAATTAAAAAAGGAGGGAATTTAAGGTTGGTTATTTCGTTGAACAGGAGATTAAAGATATTTTGCTTTGACCTTTTATTTAAAACGTTCTGTTTATCATCTGTCTAAACCTCTTTTCAAGAGTTATTTTTAATTATGATAGTTGTGCAGAAAAGAAATAGTTTAGGGCTATCAATCACTGAATTGGGTGAAAATAAATAATTTTAAGGAGAAACGAATGAATTTTTTGAATATAAAACATCCGTAAGGGGAAAATTTTGTCAATCGCTGTCAGTTTTTCATATTGAAAATATTTAACACCCCCTTCCCCCTTTGGGGGCGGGGTAAAACTAATATATGAAAATATAAACACTTCACCTCCGACATTTGTAACCTCTCCTCCTCCGTGTTAGCTCCAGAATCCCTCTGACAAACAAACAGGTTGGCACTCATCTCAGCACCAAGGAACCTAAGAATTTATGAATGTAGGAACTGAATTTATAAATTTGAGCAAGTTTGCTGAACGGCCTACAAATCTTGAATCACCGATTCAAAGCTAAAATCCTAACTGAAGCTCAACAGTTTTTCTAGATTGGTTTAGTTGTCTGCCTAAGTTATTAATCAACTTTTAAAAGAAAAACATTCCAAAATGATTTATCTTAATTTTTCTATCCTACTCCAAAATTATTTTTTTGAGTAAAAAAACTTGTCGATTTTTTATCTAGGATGCATTTAAATAGGAAAAAAGAGAAAATTAAATTTTTATTTAAAATTATTCTAAACTTTGCAGGTCGGGTTTTATTTTGCCCAACTGAAGTGTTAACATCTTCTTTCTGGAAAAAAAAAAAAAAATATTAAAAAAATTATCCTTACTTTTCATCATCTATAATCTCAACTGCTGTCATCCAGTTCGGGGAGTAATCTTTAGCTATTTCATCCAGACTTCCCTCCATTGGTTTATGCTAAATAATCAATCAATGCTAAAAACTATCATAGTTACTTGGGATCAAAATAAATTCTGCTTTTTGGGATTCATCAATTATTCTAATAAAAAAAAATAATATATATATAAAGCTGGCCTGGTGGATGAACCAAATTGGCTGAAGTGGGAACCGATGGGAACCTCTCGGGTGATGATATAGGTTAAAAATATTTAATTTCAAGGTTAAGGCCGGGCAATTTAGCTAGTAACCAATAAACAATCCTTTGTGGAAATGAAGGCTGAGTCCCCATTAAAAGTAAGCGTAAAAGGACGGAAACAATTTATTAACAGTGGATTAATTATACAAACTAAATCTTTACATAAATCAAATCAAGTTAAAGGGAGTGACCGGCTATGTAAGGTAGTTAACTGAGTATGCAGTAATGTGGAAAACTTCCTTCGGATTCATTTGAGACATATTAAACTTTTTAAAGATCTATAAATCCTGAGTTTGAGCGCAAATTCGACGTTCAAAACTCCTACTTTGGGGGTGGACACGTTTTCAGAATTAGTTTTTTTATTCAAAAGAAACCTTCTATTCTTCAGAAACCAAACTTAAAGTGAATATACTAAATTAAGACTGAAGTGAGAACTATAGCTTAATGATCAAGTTCCGTTTGGATACTCAAGTATTAAACAGTTATTAAAACTATTAATAAAATGTATAATAAGACCCAATTTGTTTCTAAAATAAGTTTAAACAAAAACATTCCAAGACTTATTTTTAATTTATTGGAGTCCAGAGTTTTGGCAAAATATAAATGGGGGACGAAGGTAGAAACTATTTATTTTGCACTCCCTTCAGGTTCTTAACAGGGGTGCATATTTCATGAAAAATCATTCTCCTACCCCAGTAGTTGATATGATTGGGCGAAGCGCAAATTTTTTTAAAACTATCCCCTACTCACCAAGGAAATTTTTTTAAAACGTATATTCGCTGAATTTGGAAAAAAAAAATGATTTTAGGGGAAATTTTTAAGATTTAAAAAAAAACTTGCCTTTTCATTTCCAATTTTTNCTGGAATATAAAAAGTAAACATGTAGTTTGATTTTACTGAACTTAACAATATCTTTAAAATATAACGCGTAAAAACGATCGAAAACGGTCCTCACGTTTTTGCATCGGTTTTAGCATATACCTTCTGCCAGGGTCAATATTTGACATGGTTTAATAAAAACAAGTGTTTAGAGTTAAAAATTTTAAATATATTTGCTCTTCTTATATTTTGCTAAAATTTGACCTTGAAAGAAAATATAAACAAAAACGTCTCAAAAACGAAGCAATTGAAAGCATACCTGTAGTAGTATCATGCTCTTGAGAAGATCTCCAATCAGAATAAAGTCCCCGGACACTTTGGCGAATAGAGCCATTATATGGTTAAAATTAGAACACTCTAATCTAAACAAAACTAAATTATTTGATTAAAAGTAAATTCCGTGTAACAATTGTGTAAAAATTGATTTCAACCCCCCTCCTATCCTGAAAACAACATATAAACAGATCAGGCCCAAATTTTTTGTGGGACCTCACATGACCCCGGGAAAGGTTTTAGGAAAATCAAAATTGAAAACAAATTCCTAGAAAATAGAAAAGAAAATAGCCAAAATTTGAAAATACTTTTTAATTGCAGACTTTCAGGGCAACAGTTAAAAAAGGGGCGTGAAGCGAAGCGAATCGCCCTAAAAGCCTAGTTATATAGAAGTGACAACTGCGGGCCTTTGTAAAATCAATATCTTCTGGCCCTCATGATTTGATTTGGGGGCGGGTTGAAAAATATATAGAAGGACCTTAATCAATAGAAACCTTCTGAAAATTACTATTTGATACAATTAATAACATTAACACACGCACAAAATTTGATTAGAACAGTGAAATTTTTTTTTCTATAATATAATAACCTGAGTTCTTTGTCGCATGTCCAGTCCCACAACCTGACTGTGTTGTTAATGGTGGTCATCAGGGTCTTGTTGAAGGAGATCGCCGTCCACACGGCTCCCTTCGTCTCCTTCTCTGCTACCTAAAATCAGTTTAATGAAAAATACCATTTTTAAAAATTCTACCGGTCTAAATAAATCTTCTCTTTTTTCAATGAAGAAGGTTTGTAGTCCGCATGTGGAGATGAGCTTGAATGTCAAGTTTCAGCTTCAGCAAAATCAACGAGTTTAATAGTAAACTCTAGGAAATCCACGCAGTTTCTCATCATTTCCTTTCAATCAATCATAATTCTCTGGAAAATGTTGCGGTGCTTGAGTATCTTAGCTATATAAGCCATTTTTTACATATTAAAGAGTCTGGGGCCGAGGGCTTAAATTTAAATTAATCCTGAATTAATTATTTAATGAATTTAAAACTTTAGTTCTGGACTCTGGACAGGTTTCCTACCTGTGTTAGTTTATTATCTGCCCAACTAAAGATGACCAGCCGACCCATCTAAACAAGATAAATTATAATTCTCAAACTGCTTTTATTTAGTATAATCACAGGAGAAAAACAATAATTATTAATAAAAAAATAAACTTTTAAATAAGTGATAAAAAAATAAGGGACAAACATGTGCTGAAGAAAAAAACTTCTAAGTAGAAGAATTAGATGTTTTTACGAGAAATAGGATTTTAAATTTGAAAAAAAAATAATTTAGAGCTATAACATGTATTCATGTCCCGGATGCAACAGTCCTGGAAAAAAATAATTCGGAACATTTTTCTAAGATTTTTTTTGATTTTTTTAGAACAAATTATAAATTTTCTCCGTTTTCCGTTTATTTTTATACTGAAACTTAATGAAACATAAGGAAGTTTTAATTAATCTCTCATATTAGAAAACAATTGAGATTTGTGTTTTGAAAGAAAATAAATATTTTTCAGCAGATATTTTGGTAGATATTTTGCCCTTTGCATTTGGCCAATGTTGAGCAAAAATGTTGATCAAAATGTTCCAGATCCGAAGCACTACACATATCGACAGTATATTCTCTAAACATTCGCCTCACCTTAGGTTCTGATTCGTCTGGATTGACGATTGCAGTTCCCACGACGTAGTAAACAGTTGGGTCAGCTCCAAGCTTACAAGACTCAATGCTGAACAGAAGATAGGATTAAATCTGATACTCTCAGGTCAGATATTATCAATGGAGGGTTAGTAGGTAAAGGCACTGTAAGGGTAAAAATGGCAATGTCCGATTTACAACGGTACCCGTAAACGCTTTGTCTGATCAAGTTTAGATTAGATATGTTTATGTTTGGATCATATTCAGGGTTCCTGGCGGAGTATATAAGAAAATTTCAGATTGTTGTCATGATATTCACAAGTGTGCATTTATCACATTAATATGCAGAAAATATTATTTTCAATATTTACGAATATCTAGTGCATCAAGATTAAAAATAAAGGACATTTTTTCTCTTTTCTTGATAGAGTTCATTTTTTTCTTTAATTTTTTATTTTTTTTATTTGACCTTTCTGCTTTCTTTTTAAGTAATCTTCTTTTGGCTCTTTTTGTCCCAACAATAGAAACTAGGACAGATTAGAATTTATTTAACAGCATTTAACGTTGGCGCAGTTTTAAAATCACAGGGTATCTCATTCCATAGAGAAGCAACTCTTTGGCTAAAAAATTGTTTACGAATATCAGTTCTTCAAAATTTGGCACTAAGTGAAAAAGGATTTTCTGACATTCTTGTAATCCTATTGAATGTATCTGCTAACATTGAAAACCAAGTACATTTATCAACATTATTAACACCATGCATAATTTTATAGATTTCAATAAAATCATAGCGGAGTCTTCGATTTTCAAGGGATTGTAAATTGAGTTATATTAGTTTGTCACTATACGATGAACGAGTAAGTTCTGAAACCATTGAAACCGTCCTTTTTAGCACGCTTTCAATAGTTTCTTTATCTCCTACACTCAAAGGACAACTCTAGTTAAGGTATAGCATAAAGTTTATAAAGATTGATAAAGTTTATAAAGTTTGGTAAAGTTTATAAAGATTTATAAAGATTGTAATTGTGTCTCTATAATGAAATGCTTCAGAAATAAGAGACAATTCACCGTTTGATTTTTGGGCTGATTGGTTGCAATACACTAAAGTTTAAAGTTTGCATGCATTGTAACTCCAATATCTTTTTCCTCGTCAATCTGTGACAAGGTTTGATTGTTCATGGTGTATGTATAGCCAGGGTTTCTATTTCCGGTGTGCATAACTTTGCATTTATCAACATTGAACATATACTCCAAGTTTCAGCCCAATCACAAAGTCCATTAAGACAGTTTTGTAATATATTTTTGTTAGTTTCGTTTAACATTTTTTGGGCAAGTTTCGTATCATCAGCAAATTTTTTTAAAGGGAGTGACCGGCTATGTAAGGTAGTTGAACTGAGTATGCAGTGTTGTGGAAAACTTCTTTCGGATTCATTTGAGACATACTAAACTTTTTAAAGATCTGTAAATCCTGAGTTTGAGCGCAAATTCGACGTTCAAAACTCCTACTTTGGGGTGGATACGTTTTCAGAATTAGTTTTTTTTAATTATTAAATAACGACAACGAAAAATAAGTTAAAAATTATACCTTAATCTAATTAGATGGTTAGGTACATAATATTTCTCAATGCTGAAATCGATTACTTCGTTTTCATTTATATTGAATTTCTTATTTTCTTTGAATTTATTCGCAGATTTCTTCAAATTCTTCAAATGTCGTCTTTTCAATAATATTTCTAGAAAATCTGCAGAAAATCTTTGTGAATAATGAGAAACCAGAATAACAAAATAGAAACTAATAATTGAACAAGATTACTTATTTTTGATGAGAAGATTAATTTTTATTTTCTTAACATGTTCCTTTACATGACGTCTGTAGTTTATTGTAGAACTTTTTTACATTTTATGTCGTCGTTATTTAATAATTTAAATTTAATAATTATTAGGAATGAAGGGAAGACTTATCCTCTTTTTTTCCGATACAATGTACAATGTACAATGTACAATATACAATGTACAATGTACAATGTACAATGTACAATGACAATGTACAATGTACAATGTACAATGTACAATGTACAATGTACAATGTACAATATACAATATACAATATACAATATACAATATACAATGTAAAATATACAATATATACAATATACAATATACAATATACAATATACAATGTAAAATATAAAATATACAATGTACAATTACAATTACAATATACAATATACAATATACAATATACAATATACAATATACAATATATACAATATACAATATACAATATACAATGTAAAATATAAAATATAAAATATACAGTATACAATATACAATATACAATATACAATATACAATATACAATATACAATATACAATATACAATATACAATGTACAATGTACAATGTACAATGTAAAATTTACAATATACAATATACAATATACAATATAAAATATACAATGTACAATGTACAATGTACAATGTACAATTTACAATGTACAATGTACAATGTACAATGTACAATAGAACAATTTAAAATATAACAATATCAATGTAAAAATAAATATTACCTCCAGATCTATTGAGTCCAGTAACTGTGACAGCTACTGAAGTTGAAACAGCCTGAAAATCATAAATGTGGATACCCATAATCGCTTGATCTCGATAACCACAATAGGACCTCTTGAATTTTAAGCAGCATTTATCCCAATTATCTTATGTAAATAGAGTTAACGACGAATCTAATTATCGAATACAAATTTAATTAATCTGCAGATTAACAAAAGATCCCAATAAATTATCAAGCGAAAAGGTGACAACAGAGAAATGGACCAATCATACATGACGTCACAAGTGTCAAATATAACAAGGAAAACAAAATTTTCTCACATTAGTTGATATGTTTTCCAAGGTTAAATAAAAAAGTGTAAAAACAGAAAATAAAGAACACATAAAATTGCACTTGTTTTTAAGTAAGATAAGCTTTATTCCAAAATTATCACTATTATTGATAATTTTATCGGACACAAAATCTAATTGACACTTGTGACGTAAGAATACAGCTGTACTGAGAGAGTGTACAAATTCTACGTTGCCCTCTATTGTACTAGAATCTATTTGAAAAAATCAAGATAAAGCATTGATCTCGAAATCACAATACAAGAGTCCAACCCCTGAACTATTGCGCAACTTGATATTACAAGATGTATAAACTTGAATGAAATTTAGCGTATCTAAAGTCTTGAAAAAAATAAACTAGTCTAAATTTAAAAGGACAGAATTTAACTGGTTTTAAAGTGAAAATCCAAATCAATCATAATGGATAACCGGTTTGTTTCAATCTTTGAACCGAATATAAATTAACTGAACTAAATCGAAATAAACTAAATTGAAACGGAAGGAACTGGACTTATCGGATTAAAATGGACTGTATCTGAATGAACTGGACTTTATTAAGATAAACTGAACAGAATCGGAATAAACTAGACTGAATCGGAAGGAACTGGACTGATCAGAATGAACTGAACTGAATTAGAATGAACTGAACTTAATCGGAAAGAGCTGACCTGAACCGGAATAAACGAGACTTAATCGGAATAAACTGGGATTAATCGGAATAAACTGAAATAAATCGGAATAAACTGGACATAATCTGAATGAACTGAAATGAATCGGAATAAACTGAACTTAGTCGGAATAAACTGGACTTAATCAGAATGAACTGGACTTAATCGTAATAAACTGAAATGAATCGGAATAAACTGAACTTAGTCGGAATAAACTGGACTTAATCAGAATGAGCTGGACTGAATCGTAATTAATAGAACGGAATAGGAAAAAACTGGATTAAATCGGATTAAACTGGACTGAATCTGAATTAACTTAACTGTATCGGAAACTTAATTGAGTTGAACTGGACTGTTTCTAAATAAACTGAATTGAATCTGAATGAACTAGTCTGAACTAAGCTGTATAAAATCTGAGTGACATAACTATTAGATAAGATGATTGAAGTTACCTGCGTTGTGACACTTTCTCTTGAATGCTTTAGTCCTCCCTTGTCCATAATATCCAACCGTTTAGTGAGTACACCAAAGGTACTCGTCTCCTCCTGAAATGTGTTCATTCTCTATATTTAATATTTTCTTTTAAAGGGACTGTACACGTAATTTCAAGAGATCCTCCATGCAAAAAAACGGCCATGTCCGATTTACAGCAGTACCCCTACACCTTCAGGTTACACAAATATAGGGATTAGCAAAATTGAGTATGTGGGCAAGAACTTAGTTCCTTTATACCATTTCATTATTTTCTCAAATTTGTTTGTTCGTCTTTTCTCTGTAAATCCATTATTAACATTTATAGTTGTAATAAAAATAACAGAACTACATAACAGCAGGCGACTTATAAAGTTTAAGAAATAACAGAAATAAAAAATAAAAAATTTGAATTTTTTTTTACAAATTTAAATAAAAAACAGAAGTTTAAAACATATTTTCAAAGATTACCTGATATGCAATCCTCATTGGAGCCTCACCAAGTGGAACTGATCTAAAATTAAAATCAATGAAAATTGTTTGAGTTCACAGTAGGGTTTCCGACACAATTGAATTTTACTTGCTCCCAATTGCAGGCCCTGACATTTCCGCACAAATTGGCACAATTGCGCGCAATACGCGAACGGTTGCACGCAATATCGCACAGTTGCGAGCAATTCCGCGCAACGAAATCCCAATAGGTTTTAAACCACGAGACCAGGAATTTAAAAATTAAAAATATATAGCAGGAAAATAAGTTCTAAGAGAAACTAGTTCCTTAATAGTAACCTTGAAGATAGATTATAAAGGTTTGAAGTGTAGAGTGGTAAATATTTACAAGAATTATCCGTATGATTGTTATAAAATAAAAGACTGTACAGTGTACATCAAATGGCATTTATCACCCATTTTTAGATACTTTTAATACAAAATTTTGTTGATTTCCCAAAACTTTCAATTATTTTTCAGAATTTAATAAATAAAACTTTTTAAACATAATTTACTTTTGTTAGGGGGGCCGGGGCGGATAATTTTCATAACAGAAAATATACCCCTGTACTAGACCTGATATGTAGTTTCTGTATCTCGTCAATGGTTCCAATAGTAATGCTTGTATCTGAGGTGAGTGCCAAGCATTCAGGGTATGCATCAGTGTTCAGGGAGCACATATGTTTCACTTCCTGAACAGTAGACAATTTTATATTACTATAATTATTATTTTAACTATCATCATTTTTGAAGGACAATTCGGCATTTGAATAAGTCAGCAATGGTAAGCGCTACTAGCCATCGAAACCCATTTAATTATATGTTTTGGTATTTGTATAATGCATACATCCAAATAAGCAAAAATTCCCAAAATTTATTTTATCTTCATATGTTTCCCCCGTTTCAGCAAAAAAAACTTTGGTAAAATTATTTGTATAGGGAGGGGAAATGATATTAGAACAAACTATCAAACAATGTCTTGCAATAAGACCAAAGAATGATAACTGTCACATTCTGTTTTTAGTATGTTTTGAAACCTCAAAAGAAAGGAATTGTAAAGTTTCTGGGAAAAAAGCAATGATGATTATTTTACAGAATGTTATTTTTTAAAAAGCAGGACTTTATATTTTTATTTTTTTTATTTGGGGGGGGGGTTGTTCTTGA